CCTTTTCTTTTATCTCTCCCCCATTTTCTCTCTCTCCCCTTTTTCTCTCCTTTATGCTCCTATAGTTGGTCAGGGACCAACATAACGGATTTCCACGCCAAGAGATTGTGGATCCTGGGCGCTCCCTCCCCTCTCGGGCCGCACTCGCTGCAGGAGCGCCGAGAGCTCGGCCATGGCTCATCCCGGTCCCTGAGGGAACGCGAGCGTCCCGCCAAAACCCGTGAGGGGAGCGGGGCGGGGCCCACGGGGYCGCCCGGGACAAAGTCCAGGGGTCAGCGCTCTCCTGAGGGGCCGCGCGAGCCCTCCTGTCACCATGGCGGAAACTCTGGAGTCGCTGGAGTCGTGCCTGGAGCGGCACATCCCGCCCGGGGAACTCGCCGAGGTGAAGCGGATCCTGTATGGGGGCGAGGCCAGGTGCGCCACCAGGACGGGCTCGCCCCCGTTCCGCGGGGTTCTGTCGCTCCGCTCCCTGGGCTCCGCGGGGATGCCCAGGTCGGGCATCCAGTGAGGGGAAGGAGTCAGTGTGAGGGAGGATGTGCAGGACACACGTCTGGGCTGTGGGGAAGAAGGAAGAGTAGGGCTCATGCTGCAGTGAGGTGACTGGGGCATTTTGGAGGTGATGGGGAGCAGGGCAGTGTGAGAAGGTGACGGACAGGGATGGAAGGCCTGTGGGGAAYAGGCGTGGCATCGGGGTGACCGAGCTGGCAAAATAGGGATTAAACATGAGGAAAATAYATTGGAAGGAAGGCGTTTGTTATCYGGGGATGGCMGGTGGAAGTTCGTGCTCCGTGATTTCTGCAGAAAGGTATTAGTGTCTGGAAATGACAGACAGAGGAGAGCAGTGGGAGGTTGGTGACACGGAGGCGAACAGTGAGATCAGCACATGAGCTAGTTGCTGCTTGTCCCTTGGCTGATGGATGAATGTTGGGGCTTGGAAGCCTGGGTGGCTCTGCAGGGTTAGACAGTATTTGATTCCCTTGGTCCTTTGCATTCAGAGCAGAAAAAGAGTACATCTCATCTTGAAATGTCTTTGTTTTCTGTTCAATCCAGAAAACTTGAYTTGCCAGCTGCTGCACTGTCAGCAGCTCAGGAAAAAGATTTTGAGCTACAGGGCTATGGATTTGAAGCTTCTCCGGAGCAATTGAGAAGGCCACGTATTGTTCGAGTGGGACTGATACAGAATAAAATTCCTCTTCCTACAGACACAGCTGTGGCAGTCCAGGTACAAAAACTGGGACTGGGGCTGTTTGTAACTCCTCCTGGACTGAGAAATAACCCAGTACAGTTGCTGATTTTAGGAGCTGTATCATGAAATGTCTAATGGTTGTCTGACAGTATAGGACCCATCACTCCTGCAGTAGAGCATCCTGTAAGAATTTTGAAWGACACATTTAGTTTTATTGTTTCTCAGAAACATCTCTTGTGTTTAACTAGCATGCCCAACTTGCTTGCAGTTTTTCCAGAGCTAAATATTTAGTAGCTTATTTTTTCCATGCAAATCCTTTGCCTCTAAGATGAAACATAAAATCATTTACACAAAATCAAAAGGGATAGCAACCAGTGGAAACCACAGGTGCAGTCCTTGTTTTAATTGAGAAATGTTCCATTATAGGAAAATCCATTAGAGGAAACAGATTAATAAAGCTGCGTTCATTATTCTTTGTRCAGCAGTCAGTGAAATCTTATTACAAGATAACATGGTTTAGTGGTGACTTGGCGGTGCTGGGTTAATGGTTGGACTTGGTTGCTGGTCTTAGAGGCCTTTTCCAACYTTGAAGATTCTGAAACCATCATCTCTTAACATCTTAGACGCAAACAGAASTGAGGTGATATATATGTATAGAAATAGGCTCTTGAAATGTTTAAAAAAGGAAAAGAAAATACTGCATKTATAAAATCTGTTGGAGTAGTAATTTTGTGCAGTGACAGGACAGAACATTTCTGAAGTAGTTTGTTTTGGAAAGATTGCCTATCACTGATGCAAGTCATTGATTCAATAAATAGATCGAGTTTGTGCATTCTTTATAGCAGCTACCAGCTTTATAGCAGCTACCAGCAGTACCAGTTATATTAATGATTTTACCTTATAAATAACTAGTTAACTATCTCTGTAATTCAATATAAGATTGTTGAGTTCATAGGTCACTGCTGTCTTGTCTTTAGTCCTTTTTTTTAATTGACACCTGAAAGAAGTGAAGTGCTACACTGATGCTTATCTTTAAGTAGAATACTCTGGAAAACTAATTAATAAATGTTTTGATGGTTTTTCTTGGTAATCTACTTAGCTCTTAGGACAGAGGGCTTAACGTTGTTCTGTAGGTTGTTTTATAGTTAGCAGCAAAAYGATAGTTTTTGCTGATTCTGTTAAGATTTTTAGCTTTTTATGTCAGGCAGCAGTGAATTGCCRTCTATAAATGTTGCAACCATGGAATTAGAATCCCATTGGAATGCTTTCTCTATTTTCAGCATCTAAATGCTTTTAAAAACCTATATCTGACTCTATTATCTGTGTTCAGGAATGATAACTTGAGTTACTCCCCCTGAAAGCAATGGCWCTAAGTATAGAACCAGATAAACTCAATGTGAGCAAAGATTGTGAAACAAGGCAGTTAATGYAGAAGTGAGTTCGAACATGCAGCTTTTTTTATAGTGTGACATTTCTCACAATCAGGTGGCTGCTCTGCACAGACGAATTGAGGAGATGGTGGGAGTGGCTGCAATGTGTGGGGTCAACATTGTGTGTTTCCAGGAGGCTTGGAGTGAGTATGCTCAGTGATGCCTTGYAGGCCATCATATGTCAAGTGCCTTCTGTTTTAACAGGTGGCCTGTACTAGAATTATGTCTTGTAAGTAAACAGTAGACATCTTCCAAGATACAATTGATTTTAATGATTTGCATCCTAAAGGGAAAACTAGAGTCTGAAGTAGCAGAACTGTATGGAAGATACATTTGACATGTGTTATATTGAAGACTGGCATATGATGTTTAGAGGTCCTTCATTATCCTTTCCTCATTTTTTCTCTTAAGACTTGGGGTTTTTTTCTAGACAGATATTAAWTTTTTTTAATTACTTTTAATTAACRTGGGGTGTTTGAGGCTTAATAGAAGCAAAAACCAAAATGAAGGCTCATGAAATGTTTGTAGAAGCAGGWTATTCAGAGTGTACACTGGTGACTGGAGTGTATTTTGTCTTTTAACCCTCCTGAGACTTCACTAAGTGCATCCATTCTCTTCTGGTTTGCTCTGTGTGAGCTCAAAACTTGTTGCCCTTAAAAGTATCTTTAAATAGCTTTTGCCTTTAAATGAGACAAAAAGTTGAATCATTCTTAATTTTTTTAATCTGTGTTCATGCAAGTATCATGTATTTCTTGAGTGGCATGAGCATTCTTTCACATTTTGCCTTGCTTTGGTGTTTTCCAGCCATGCCCTTTGCATTTTGTACAAGAGAGAAACTTCCTTGGACTGAATTTGCTGAGTCAGCAGAGGATGGGCCAACAACCAAATTTTGTCAAGAGGTAAAGAAAACAATCATAAAAAAAAAGATAACCCATATCCAGCCCCAGCCCATTACTGCCACTGATAAGCATAGATTTCTTTTTTCTGTACCATTCTGATATCGCTGAGAAAACGGAAGTAATAAGTAAATTTTCATCTTGCTTGACCAATATTATGATTGTGAGTTGAAATAGAAATGGACAACAATTCTGCTCAATATTTATTGTTTAAATTACTCTGCATTTACCTTTTACCATGAAAATGCTATGAAACTGCCCATTTAACTATTCCTGAATTTTACAATTTGCACAGCTATGACTGAACTGTTAAAGATTTGTAGGCAGCATAACATCTTTAGTCTGATCTAGGGCAAGTGCATCTTGCTTCTCACTGTGGAATTAATGATACTGGCATTTTGGAGAAATAAAAGGGAAGTGATTTGAAGAAGACAATATACCAGTAAACTGGCAGGCAGAATTTGCTATATTTCTCACTTGTACCTGTGTTATTTAACATTTGTAGTTAACATGTAGTGCTATTTTACTTTTTTTGGTRATTAACTRCTTTCAGCCTGCTGTGGTGTCTGTCATTCTGGGGTACTGCAGGTTTGTGTAGAATAGAGGAAATGTATTTATTTATACAGCTTGCAAAGAAATACAATATGGTYGTGGTGTCTCCGATCCTGGAGCGAGATGAACTGCATGGTGGAATTCTGTGGAATACTGCAGTGGTCATTTCTAATTCCGGAGCTGTCCTTGGCAAAAGTAGGAAAAACCACATTCCAAGGGTTGGAGATTTCAATGAGGTAAGATGCAGTACTAGGACTATCAACTTAGTCTTACTTTCCAACTCTTGTTTGTGCCAGTGTGTGTTGTGTCAGGGTGGTCACAGTGACAGAAAATGTGATGTGTTTCTAGAAAATGTTCCTGTCAAATCAGTTTCTCAGATTAAAAGATAGTCAATTTATCAAGAATGAACAATTTTTGTCAGAGTGATGAGTCTTAAAAATAACATTGAATCTTGTAATATACTCTTCCTTGGCCTGGTGGAAATGACAAAGATATGAAGTATCCATTAGAAGAATTGTTTAGGTTACAGCTGTGTTAGCATTTGTTGTGCATGCTTGGCTTGGTTAGTTTTGTCATGTGTGCGTGTTTAACTTACTTTAATTTGCAGGGCAATTGTTTCATGGTTCAAGCATGAACATTACTTACAGTCTTTCTCTGTTTCTCTGTAAGGTTGTCTTGGAAATGACAGTTCTTTTGCTTGTGTTTGTTCGAGCAGAATCCCTTAATTCRTTATGCCTCTGACTGAATAGCTGGTTTATGGCATCTTCTGTTTACTAATCACATAATTGTAACTGAAGCCCCAGCAGMTTTTGGGCCATCCTCCAGAATCAGCTTCAGAAACTGAACTGGCAGTAAAGGCAATGTCAGAGGAACACTGGTAGATCTGAAATGTGTTTATCCATCCATAGAATTATCACAAGCAGAAAGATCAGGATTAAAAATTAACTGAAGTCTAAAAATACATTGTCTTACCTAACTAAATCTCTCCTTGTCAGCTAAAGTCAGTAATTAACTGAGGCATTTCTTCTAAGGCTGCTATGTACCTGCAGTTGCTTTTGTTCCCTGTCTGACTGCTCCAGTCACTAAACTGAGGCTTCAGAACCTAAACTSCTTTTTTATTAATACAAAAATGTTTTTTTGATCTCAAAACTTYGTGTTCAAAGACCTCTGGAAGTTTTCACCTTACTCCCAGACCTGATCAGGCTGGTTTGAGTTTATCCAGAGGAATAGAGTTCTATACAACAAATTTCTGGCCCAGTCTGTTRGTCACTAGTGTTACCTTGTATTTTTAACAATTATTTTGATATTTAATATTGTTTTACCAGGTGTGTCCTTTAACTAGCAAAGTAGTAACTGGCCAACTCATTTGTTACTTTCCACATTTTTTTATTTGTTCCTTATATATCCAAAAAATAAATTCCTGTTGCTTGTGCTAAAATATGATGTCTTTCAGTTTTCCAGACAGTGTTTATTGGAGCATCAACAGATTCCAGGAAACTAATTTCCAGCTATGAAACTGTAATGAGAGACACCTAAAAAAAGAAAATACTTTTACTTTCTCATGTTAAATATAAATAGAGTTTCATTAAGAGTTTCACATAGTTGCTTAAAGAAGTTAGTTCTTATAAACCTAAATGCCAGAATTAMTACAAATATCTGTTTATAGCTTGCAGATATACTATAATAATTTGACATTTCTTCTTGTATCTGTCTTCTTATAGAATCAAGTGTTTACCCAAGCCAGCACTGTCTTCAGCTGGCTTTGTTAGCAAAGCACTAAGTCCACTCTTCTGAGTTGAACAATTTTGATAAAGCAGCTTCAGAAACCACCCAGGCTACAGGAAAGGATTATGTTCATCTGTGTTACTTTAATGTTGTTTTCTTTATCAACAAAGCTAAACCTCAAGGAAATACTGAATTTGAAATTATTTCTTGTGGGTTGTCTCCGTAGGGCAGATGGGTAAAGAAGCCTTGTTAAAATCATGCCCTTTGAATCAGTGAGAACTAAATGGAAAGGGGAAGGAGGTTGGTCTGTGGCCTATTCAGCCATGTGTGGGAGGGCATGTAAATAAAAATCAGTCCTTCTTGAGACATCACAGTTTATTGCTGTTGAGATGATTGTGACCTCTGGTGAGAAATAAAGAAAGAGGAACTGATGAATTCCCTGAAGCAACAGCATTCTTGTTTTTCTTCTCCTATTGTAAGAAAAGAAACTGAGAATAGGAGAAAAAATTCAGCAGAGTTGTTTTGAAAAAGGATTGTGTGAGCACCCACCATGTGGTCTGCTGTCTGCAGACATGAAAGTAGATCAAATCAGTGCCCAAGGGATTGCAATTTCATGAGACCTGATAATAAATAAGARATATGAGATGCTACTTTTGCTGGACATACTGAACCTCTAGCCCTTGGTTTCAGAAAGTGCCCTCCTTTATCTGTCATGCCATTGGCCCACACTTACATGAGCTTTGTTCCCCAGCTGTAACTGCTTGCTTTAGGCCTCAGGTCTTTCTACTTCCTTCAGGACCAGCAGAACAGATAGTTTCAATAAAGAGGGGATTGCTTTACAACATGTGTTCCTTCTTCGATAAGAGACATGTACCATTGGGTCAGGATGGTGGACAGTGTCCCTTGCTTTTCTGTCTCAGATCAGCACCATAGGATACTGTCAGGAATCAGCCAGGCCACTGCAACTTCTCTACTCCCTTGCTATCCACAACATTGTGGAATATTGGGTGGCGTATTCTCTCTCTTTCTTATCTGTGGATCTTTGTCACTGTCTTTGTCCCTGTCTGTACCTGGTGATAGTACTTTCAGAAAGCAGTACATTTTGGRAGTGCACTGCCTGCTGCATGAGAGAAGTTACTTTGCTTGATGGCGGGTATAAGAGTGTAATTATGGTGAATACACACTCCTGGCTGCTGCTTTGGCATTTCTGTATTCATCTTTTCTAYTGCCTTAGTGTTTTTGTAAAACTTACTCATCATATCACCCTCAGCCTTTCTTCTACACATTGGAGATTTTTTTTAGTTGGAGGTACTTCTTTGCACTTTTTTAAGAAGTCTGTCTTTGTGGGGTTTGTTTGGTTTTTTTGGGTTTTTTTGTTTTGTTTTGTTTTGTTTGTAGTCTACTTACTATATGGAAGGAAATACAGGACACACAGTGTTTCAGACACAGTTTGGGACAATTGCTGTGAATATCTGCTATGGGCGCCACCATCCTTTGAACTGGCTCATGTATAGCATGAATGGAGCAGAGATCATCTTTAATCCTTCAGCCACTATTGGCACACTCAGGTAAAATACAAACGGATCTATGCCATTGCTCCTTTTCTGGGTTCATTGAACCTCTGAACCTCTCACTGGGGCCTCAGGGGCACCTTGGGGTCTTTGGAACCGGAAGTGTCTCCTTATTTTGCCTCCACAAAGGAGCCTGCATTCTCTTCCACCTGGAATTTTGGGCTTCCAGGCTGCTCCCAGTAACTGATTCTCTTTCAGAACTTTATTGCACATCAGCAGGTCTTCTGTCTTTGAGATAACATTAACCAGCATCCAGCTGGTAATCTGAAAACTAAGATCTAAAAAAGTTTATTTAGATTATTTATGTAATAGTTTTGCTGTGTGGTAGGCAGTAGTCTCTTAAGTTCAGGCTTTCCTTGCCATCTTGCATTGTCCACCTAAGAGAGTATTAAATTGCAGTTTTCACAACCAAGCTGAGATACCCTTTTCTCAGAGATGTATTTTTTAAACTGTTGSCAATTTTTTGATTATGTGGCCTCTTGAACCAGACTAGACCAGTGTAAACTTTCCTGTGAGATTAATCTTCTGCAKATTAACATTATTTGCACCTTACTGACTTGATTTCCAAAAGCTAACTTTTGCCTCTTTGACAGAAAATGTGCAAGTGTGAGACAGTCAGAATCTAGATYTAGCACTGAAGCATACAAGTAGTGAATACCTGCTGCCTCTTTGTGTGTTGCAGTGAGGCRCTGTGGCCCATCGAAGCCAGAAATGCTGCCATAGCCAATCACTGCTTCACGTGTCCCATCAACAGAGTAGGAACGGTTCGTATCTCCATTGTTTTATCTCATTCCRTAATTCAGCTGTTGGTGCATGAGTTTGTTCAAGGCAGTGGACTAATGGCACTAGAATGCGTGGGTTCCTCTGCTGTGTAACTACTGTTTATGGTGTGATTTGAAGCTGGACAGTGATGGAGAGATTGAAAGCTGCCTTGTTGCTGGCAGCCTATTTTTTGATTACAGCTGCTTCCTGTTCTTGAATTGAATCTTTCTAATAGGCACCCACCCCTTTACTGACTCTCCCAGTTTCTCTGGTGAAATTAGTATTTTAGTCAAAATGACTGAAAATTTAATATATCCTCAAGTCAGTGGTACATAAATGGCAGTTGTTGTACAGATAGTACCTCTTTCTGGACTGTAAAATTGTATAATGAGAATTAACAGTGCATGCAGTAGGTTATTCTTACCTTTAGATTAGTCCAAATACACTGTGTGTGTATTTTTAAAATTAGATTTCCTGAAAAAATCCAGACTTGTTCTTGCTGTTATGTGAATGTATTTGCCTTTTTTTGTGATCTTAAAAGATATGTCTGGTTATATGTCTCCTCTTTTGCCCATTTAAGCTTGTGAAATGGTTACGAGGCATGTTCCCCAAAGTATATGAAAAACAGGCAGTGATACAAAAAGATCTTGTATTCTGTCCTATGTATCACAGACACTAGGCCTCCCTGATGACTCCCTTTAGACAGTGCTGATAGTGTGCCAGAAAGAATCTTTGTAGATTTATATAAACTTCCAAAATATGATAGACTAGYGAGGATTTCTTGAAGGAAACAGAATTATACTGCCACCTATGGATTYCTTTTATTTCACAGGAATACTTCAAAAATGCCTTTACTTCTGGAGATGGTGGAAAAGGTATGTTCAGAAATCACATTCATTACTAGTTCCCAGATTTGCTGGAAGTAAAAGAATCATGAGGAATATGAGATTTTGTTACATGTACTTGTATGTTGAAACACTATAATTTGTGCTATGAATACCATGGTTGCTTCTGGCTCCATCCAGAGCATGCCTGAGCCTTTTCTTAGCCAGTTTTGGAGCTAAGTGTTTTTAGCAGCTGCATGAAAAATCAGTGGTATCCATTGCTTAGTAGTACAACAGATGTGATTGATTTTTGGCACAACTCAAGAGTTGCGCAATATGAAATAATATCTTTTCTGTGCCTCAGATCCCAGTGTTCTCACCTCTAACCTTTTATTGAAAATTAAATGGGTGCATCTCTGTCAGCTGTTTTGAAAATGTATGTTTTGACAATTAGAATTCATTTAAATGCTAAGCAAAAAACAATGAAAGCAAAGTCTTTAGTCCAGAGAGTTAATAATGGGAAAGCATAATGACGCATTATTTGAAAGGCAGTGCAGCAAGATTATCCTGATAATTTGATGGTGCTGTGCATGAAAGTAACTGCTGGCCAAAACTGCAGTTATTTTAGGATCACGCTGTGACTCTTCAGGATGATTATCTTGCCTAAAGGGCAGCAAGTCCCCAAGAAATTGAATCAGATTTTGTGGGACATTGCAAGTTGAGTTACGTACCTATTTGCAGATTGAACTAGATTTTTTTTAAAAATCTCTTTAAGCACACCATGAGCTAGGCCATTTCTATGGCTCGAGTTACGTAGCTGCACCAGATGGCAGCAGGACCCCCGGACTCTCTCGCACTCAAGATGGGCTGCTGGTGGCAGAGATGGATCTAAACCTCTGCAGGCAAGTTGGTGACAAGTGGAATTTTAAGGTAAGCCTGATTATAAAGAAAATTGGTATTAGAACAAACAACCATTGATAGTGGTTCCATGATGTTACAATAGTTAAAAGGCAACCTTTTTTTTTTTTTTTAGCAGTTCAGAGCTTAAATTGTTGAACTAATTTAGCARGATGTTCTGGAGGCCAAAAGCATAAATAGATTTGAAAAAGGAGTAGCTAAATTCAGGGAAACTAGGCCAGTAGCTTTCAAATGAAAACCTTAGCCTCAGGACCTTAATGTGGATTGCCAGGAGTTYTGAGGATTGCTGGGGAAGAGTGTGTGTGTGAAGGTAAGCATTTGTTGCTGAGCTGAGCCGGGCATTGGAGCTCATCTAACATGGTACTATTATATATTCTTAAAGGCCTTAATTGTCAGTTTTAGTGAAATTTGGAGAAAACTCAAACCCACAAGCTTCTGAGAACTTTCTGAATGCAAATTTCTTGCAATGTTAACTTCCTGAATTTGTGTATATGTTGAAGCTGCTGAGAAGAAACTATATTGTATACATTCATCTCTGAAGCATCTTAACGCACTTTTGAATTTATCTAAATCAGATTAAGATGTCTGCAAGGCACTCCACATGGCTTTAACAAAACATATTTATTACTTTTTTTTTTTTTATTCTGAAGTAAAGCTAATTTGGCTCATCTTTCCAGAGGGCATAATTGGATTTCATTTGTCCAATAGCAGTGCTGGTTGAAGAAATGGCTGCCTCAGCACGGCAGCTTGCTAACCCTTTAGTTGTGCCAGTACAAGCTATGTGGGGTGCTATATTATATGCTAATTTAGTGAAGTGACCAGTTTTTGTTTTTTTYAAAAAACAAATGACACTCTACTTCCTTTTTAAATCTGATCAAGTTTACATCAGGCGACACAAAGATCCTATTGGCAACTTTGGAAATRGGCTTTGTTGGTGAAGAAAACATTTTGCTTGGTTCTGTGGAGACAGATCTTTTGTTCTAGTCCTCAGTACTGCTAGAGACTAGAACTTTTCCCTATCCACTCTTAAGATCAGCATGATTTGAATCCTAACAAAATAGAGCAGAACTCCTGGCTAGCAACTATACAGTATGTGTAGGTTCTTCAGTGATCACTTGGTATTTAAAGTAAGTAATCATTTGCAAGGAGTGTCAGTTTCTGAACATCACGCTACTGCAAGCAGACATTTCTTTTATAGGGCTGGTTTTTTTGCCTGTTGTGCATTACAATATGGTGCAACATCCAATATGATTTGATTTCAATTTGCAATAAAAATGAAAAATCTCTGGATTTGAAATGCTGAATAAGCTTTCTGATTAAAAAAAATAGTAATTTCTTATATAGTTTAATTTCTTTGCTAATTTCTCATCCCTATGTAGGGATGAAAATCAACAAGTAATTTCAGGTCATCTTCTGGAACAGAATTGCAGTTGTTATTTTACAGATGCCTGTGGTAGGCATGTGTTAGTTGTCCTAATGGAATTAAATTGTGCTGAGAGATTTCTAGTTTTGTAAGTCAGGCAGGCATTTACTTTTGTTTTGCCACCAAAGTCTGAGGCACTTACTGCAGAGTAGAGACTTAGTGTGTCAGGAAACACATAGAGCATTGCTTACAACAGCTTGGTAGGGGTATCTGAACAAAAGCAATTGTATTGATTAGGAAAAACAAACCGTAAAAGCAAAACACTGCCCTTTGGCTGTTTTTTGTAGAATTGTGTATTTTTTGTTGTCTTCAAGTTTTGTGCTTTCAGCACCTTAGTTTTATGTTGGTGGTGTGGAGGGYTATTGTTGGGGTTTGGCACATTAGGCACAGCTGTGGTTTTGTTTATGTGACAGGGGAGAGCTGTTTCCTTTTCCTCTCAGTTTGGGCTAAGACAGAGGTAGTTCTTGCCGAGAGGAATGAGTAGCTACCCTAAATAGCACATAGGAACCTATTTAACCTGCTCTGCTATCTGCAGTTTGCACCCAGTGATGCCTGAAAGGGACATTCATAGAAAGWGTTTGCCAAATTTAAAACAGCAAAGGGGGTAAACGAATCATCTAAGTTATACTCTGGCAATAAAGATGTAATTTTCCCCTCCCAGAGCCAATGTTGTAGGCTGTGTACTTCAGAAGAGGCTGACAGCCCTACATCAGGTGCTGTATTGCAGCACTCTCAGCACTTGCTCTGTCACCCAAACCATTGGTATTTCACATTATAAAAGGGTGAAGAAAGAGAAACCCAAACACTGTCAGTGGCATGTATGCAAAGTTACTGCTGGCAGGAGGGTTCCTTGGTTGTCAACGACATGACATGAAGCCCTAATTACAGAGACACTCCTTTGCCTTCATTGATGTAACTTAAAATATTGATGCGTAAGGAAGCAAGTCCACCTTTCAATTCAATTTTCAGCTATCCAGAATAACCAAAATAGCCATAAGTAACAAGTCAGCAGACATGACTGTCACCAAAGGAAAGCTACAAAACAGGAAGGTGTTAATTTAAAACTTTACTTTTTAGGGTGGGCAACACGGTGTGAGTTCTTTTATAAAAAATATATTTGTGCTAAGGCATTGGTGACCTTGATTTTGAGTGAATTATGGTTTTGATGTTAGGGACAATTAAATCATATGTTGTCACAGAAAAAAAAACAGCCAGTGGATATAAATATTTTCTACTAAAGTACCTTCGTAGCTCACTGAAAGAATTGAAGCTTTGATTTTTCTTTTCCAGATGACTGGTAGATATGAAATGTATGCAGAGAAGCTTGCTGAAGCAATCCAGCCTTACTTTATACCCAATATCATCAAAGAGTAAGAGAGAGCATCTCATTACATTCAAATATGGCAAGATAAATTCAAAGTTACTGTTGGATGATAGCTTTACTGTGAATCATGAGTTGCTGGTTTAATGTTGTCAGTTTAATTTCATGTAACCAACTTCAAATAATAGCATTCGAATCAGTGTTAAGTAAAATAACTGAAAATGGCTTCTTGAGTGTTTGTTATTTACACTAATGAGTGCAAAGTTTTGTTATTTGTTTGAAATACATCCAGTGTTTTTCTAGTGTAGAAACACATACAGTGTACTGTGAAACAGTTGGTAAGAGAGCATGAATTCAGAGGACATGAAAATTTTTACATAAGCTTTGCATTATACATCTATTTGCTTCTGCTTTCCAGTTTTTACCTTCTGCCCAAATGCATAATTTAGGGAGAAAGGAGGCATAAATTGTTTTTATCTGGGTGTTTTTTTGCTTTTTCTACTTATGAATACTTGATGCAGTTGTAATATCCTAGACACCCCAGTTATTTGCCAGATCTGTAGGTGCTGCAAAGCAAGACCACTTTGGTTCTGTTACCTTTTACACCACCACAGCTGCATCAATGTCTTTGATAAGCCCCTTCAAGGTGCAGAAGTCGTGCTCAGAGAGATGCTTTGGTACCTTCTGAAGCTCAGTGCCCTGATGGGAAGCAGGAATAGAGATCCTGGGTAATGCATAGACAACGCTGGGGCAGTTCATACTTTACACTGTGAACAGAAAGCTGCTCTAGGGAACAGGATGTGTGTGGAAAACTCCTTCCCTGGGACTGCACTCCAGTAGGATATGTGGTGGTTGCAGAGTACACAAAACAGCTGTGGAATAAAGGTAATAATGATACATTTGCATTCTCAGGTAGTACTGTATCCTGAAATATTGCTTCATATGATTTAGGTGATGGCAGTAGGTGTTCAAGCAATGCAGACTGAATACAGTTTACAGCCCAGCAACTATGAATTTATGGCTGTAATAAATATTCGAACTCGTTTTTGTTTTTCCAAATTACAGTTTCAGATTTTCAAGAACATTTTTCCTAATAAGCTTGTTAATAAATGCACTTGCTACATTATGTTACAGGGTTATCTGTGAGTTTAACCTTTATTGAGAATGGCTTAATTACAAATAAAAATATATTTATGTATAAAATCCCTGCATGTAAAATCCCCTTCCTTTACTATTGACATCCTGACAGAAACAAAGCAACAGAACATTTTCAGAATGAGTGTTTTGATAGACATCTTGTAACGGGAGACAAAGTTTCAGAAAATGCAGATGTTCTGAATGTTTGCGCAGTGAGCTGCTTTTTCAGCTGAATTGTGTCATATACTCAGTCTTTTCACTTGGCTTTTGTTTCTTCCTTGTGTTTTCATCTCCCATCGTTCTCCATTTGGCAGCTGTATGAGATCCTATTRTAGTAGTGGGCCTCTTCTCCCTTAGTCTGCGCTAGCTTAGACAGCTTTGTTTAGCTTTCACATTTGTTGAAGCATTTAAACTCTGGGTACCAAACATTTACCAGTCGATAYTGTTACACCTATCTGTGCACTTCAGAACACTTAGTTTGCTCTTAAGTTCATATTTTACCTATAAGCTCAGGATTCACTTTTGGTAAYGGAACCAGTAAGATGCTAAATGTCAATTACAAGCCTTTTGTAAGAATTGTTTTTATTTAACTAATCAAGCCTGCTCTAAGATAAATCCTGTGGCAGTTTAATGGTATTGAGTGAACYACCTACCTGAAAATCCATGAGTTAAGGAATTACTCTTAACAGCCTGTAGCTTACATACCTGTTAATTATTAACAGCTAATACATCTCTCTAAATCAAACATYGTGATTTTGGACCTGAACATAAAAATTCTCAGATCAGAAGTCTTCTGTTTACTTATTTTGGAGGAGTTGAAAGGCATTATCTACAATAGGTTTTATACCTTTCTTCTTAACAGGTTCTGCTGGTGACACCAGTGTACTGGTTCTACACAAACCACATCCTAGCTCTTAGTCATTTTGCAACTATCAATGCCAGAATGTATTTATGTCACCAGTGATAAGCAAAATTTGACAAAGTTTTTTCTCAAATACTTTTGTTTGGAACTTTTTAACGGTTACTGCATTTTTAAATGTTTGTTACTATTTCTCACCTTAGTAAAAAGGAGCGCTCTTGATCTTGCTAAATACTTAGTAAACAGAGTATAGATACTTTTCAGTTAATAACTGAATAAAAGAAAATGTTYATCTTGGTAAAAAAACTTTCTATGCAGAAAGTTTATTCCTATTTTTGATATCCAGCAATAAATAACAATATCCTTTTTACTGTTATTCCACACAGTTCCAGAACCTGAACAGTTCTTTTCCTAAAACCATGCCAGAGGTGTGGGATCTCTATCTTACGTGCAAATTTTCCTAGTTTTACATCAGTGCTGATTTTCCTACTCRCCTTCATATAGGCAGGACTGAAGATTGAGACTTAGAGGAACTTGTGATGAATGAAGCTGAACTAAGTGGCTTTTTCTTACATTTCAGWGTGCTCCTCAGGTAAGAGAGGAAAGGATTATGAATGGGCTGCTACCAATTTCACTTAATGTCTGAATACAGCAACAGCTTAATCCAAATACAACTGTAGTATAAGAGCTAGAAAAAATCTAAAATCCTGCCCTCTTACTTACAGCAGAAATGTTTGTATTTCCTCTTAATTGGTGTAAGCTCTTSTTAGAAGGTCATTGAACTAATACCAACAGCAAAATTTGGCTCAAATTATGATTCAGCATTTTAGTTACAATGCAGTAGATGCTGTCAGATATTTACACTTTACACASAAAATATATACCATTAGTGTGGATGATAATTTTCTGCATTTGCTTGAGAAGTTTTAAAGTTCATCCTCAGAACAGATTCTGCAGAAACTGGCACATGTGGGTGGCATAACATTCAGAGCTTTTTGCAAAGAGCAATAAAAACTTCTAAGTGCAAATAAAATCTTTTCGCTTAAACTTCTGGAGCAATGCGGAGCTCTGCACAGTCATCCAAGAGATTTAGTCAAAAGAGACTGAGTTTGTRGTGCAAGGGAACAATTCCAGTACTGCAGTTGCTTAAATGCTAAATCTCTGTGAATTTGGTACATGGGAAGTTTCCTACATTGTAGACAATATTAATGAGCCAGCAAGGCTTTTATTTTGCTATTTAAAAGTGGTTTAATTTTTTTTTTCCTTTTGTAACACCCTGCTGAACTTCAAATCCATAGATTTAGGATGGAAGAGCAGCAGATACTTTGACAGAGAGAGAGAAACAGGTATTTTTTATCTTTTTCTTTGTTTATCTAAACCTGTGCATATCTTACCAAGTGTTAAAGTTCATAAATTTGGTGCTTTTTTCTTACGTCTTTAATTTGAAAATAAGCTGAAAGTGAACAAGCTCTGGGCCTGTATTTTAGAACTGCTGTCAAATGTGCAATGTGGAAAATTAGGAAAAAAAACAAACAACCCAGCAAACAAAAAAMCAGAGACGAACATTTCAAAATCAGATATATCATCAGGAAAAAAAAGGATAAAGACAGCATTGCAATATGTCCTGTCAATGTCTATAAAGCCTCCCTTGTTGAAAGTCCCACTGCAGTGCAGGAGCGAGGTGTGTGCAGGGGAGTCCTGAGACGAGCAGCCAGCTGCCGTGCAGGCTGGGCAGGAAGGAGCAGGAGTGTCCTCTGTGGGTGTCAGCTGTCTGTGTAGATGAACAGAATATCTTCATCAGTGCCGTAACTTGTCCTGGCTTCCTCGAAGTTACTGATGCTGGTGCAGCATGTTCCTGGTAAGGAGGAACAAATTGCTATGGAAAATTCAGAATGGTTTACTGGTGAAAGGCTTTTACACTGGGTGTAACAGCCTCCACAAACAAAACTATTATAGTGACTAGACCCAGCAGCTTAGGTTTCAGCTTCACTCAGATTTTTTCACTTCAGAGCTCATTGAAGTAATGATGCAAATAAGTACTAAACTGGTCCTTGTTATACTCTGCACATAGACAGTTCAGCATCTCTCACTAACCCATCTAAAAGCCAAACAAGCCATTTGCTAGAATGCCTATCTGACTGCTTCAACTAAATCACACCACAGAATGCAGCAGATGTAATTAATGTGGCAAAAACCCTTCTGACAAATTGGGCAGTGATGCTTGAAATGCATGTGCAGTGTGACTGGGGAGGTCCAGCTGTGGCTTTATGTTACAGACTRGTTAGTAATGCAGGGCTGAGAATCCATCCAGAAGGGACAAGCTACTCACGGTCAGCATAGGCAGGGTTGTTGTAGTAAATACTCCCTGAGGCTTTGTTGTAGCCACATAACACAATGAAGTGGCCCTGGTAGTCAGGGCTCCTGCAGAAGCACTTCTGTCCGATGGGAAGGAAGCAGCAGTATTTGACAGGACTTGAGCAAAGATCACACAGTAAAAGGACTGCGTTCACAAGGACGATGGCTATGTGACCCTGGGACAGGTGGTTTTGGATGTCTTGAACAGTTACTGTGCTGCAAGGGRAAAACCAGACACACTTACAGACAAGTTTAGGAAAGAGGTTAGTGTARAAGAACTGTGTGATGGTGGACAGTGCAGTTACTTCTACATCACAGGTACAGCTTTTGTCTGGTAAMCCCTGCAGGCTCTGCTATGAACAAAGCCTGACAAAACCTGTAGCATTCCAGGCCTTTTCATCTCATTGCTGCTACTGAAGAGCAGAGCAACAGCTCTGGATTCTGCAATAACACATTCTGAGATTACATTTACATCAGATRGCCCAGAGAGAATTAAAGGAGCTCRCAACTCATTAGCTTGAGGGACTTCTGTTGTGGACTTCTGTTAAGTGAAGTGTTCTCTCTTGCTGTTAGAAAAGCTTATCTCTGAAACACCAAATCTTTATTGACTGAGTGGTTTAATATGGTGCAACCACTAACCAAATTAAGATGTGCACAAATTTGCCTGTGTCACACAGGACTGTGTTTCTCCCAGTCAGAGTTTTGGACCACTTRATACTCTTCAGGCTTTATTTCTACAGTACCTTACAGAGAGTAAATATCCACCTAAAACCTAATCTGTTAAAAGCTGTCCTTCAGTGAGGCAGATGGTGTGTTCCATACGCATGAGAAACTCATCGTTGGATCTATTCCAGATGTCTGGGCYGTGTGTACCACCTGACCAAACTCATGCTTTTTATTTAAATCTTTTCCAGTGTCACTTCCCCCAGCCTCAGTACTACACAGGTAGATATCCCCTCTGTCCCTGCATGGATCAAGGCAACAATCTTAAGACTGCAAAAGCAAGAGGGACTGAGTTCCCCTTCTGTCCTGTCACAGCTGTAATTAAAGTGATGGTGACTCGTGTTAGAAAGGACATCTAAGTCTGCTAAATCTAAGTTACASTCCAGCATTCAAATGCTGTTGTGGCTGCCCCATATTCTCTCCTCTTTGCTTACTCCTAATCATCTACCCCACTTCAGCAACAGGGGTCCAAATCCAGCWTCCTTATAAGAAGGCACACTGCTCAAAGCTGGATGCTTAGTCATTTCCCAGAATTTCACTGTTGATTGTGAAACAATTCTGCAATTTTTCCATTTCTTCTGGGTTTGCAGTTCTTTCATGGAGGTTCCTTACTGCATGGTACCCTTGGCAAAAGCTCCTATTCTAACTTGGACTTTGCATGTCTGTCTAGGAACAGAGATCCATGTTTGCATAGCTCTGGGAACAACGAGTTCTGTACCCACAYAGTGTTCTCCTGAATTCCAACAATAGCCAATTAGAGTGCTGTAGGCCCTCTTTACTGCCTAAGTGTAATGGATAAACAAATTAAAAACATAAATAGCTCCTGTCAGCATTTTCAAATCACTTACTTTGCATCATGACTAATTTTTCCTCAAACTTCACTATTAGGTTTTTATGTCCATGGGTTGGTTTTTTTTTTTTTTTTTTGAGACAGATACAGTAGAAACACACTTAATGGCAAAAAAAGGCTTAGGGCTTGATTTCAGTCTCTTTCAACAGTTTAGCTTGGTGCTTCCAAGAAAAGCAGGGGCCCACAAAATCTCCAAAGAGAAAGAAACGGTAAACTTACCATTTTTCCACCAGCACCTTGCTGTCTTTGGCTTGTGCAAAGAGCTGATTCACTCGATTCTCTTCTGTGTCAAAGTGCTTCCTGTAAAATGACTGTGGAGATAACAGAAGTTCTGAACTGGAATGATATCTACCTTGGGCAATCAAGARTCTGCTAGCAAGAGCCTGCAAAAATTGGAGATCTGGCTAAGGGATAAAAGATCTCTCCCTTGTTTCACTGGAAGCAGAAGGAGTTTTGCTCTGAAATTACAAATTACATTTGCTCCTGGTCAGTTATTGTTGCAGTTTCCATCCAGTGGTTATTCAGCTGTCTACATGAGAGAAGCCTGTCTGGTTTCCCAGGGGAAACTGGGCAGGAGCTTGCATTAAAGCCACTGCTGCTACAGGCCCTCCTTGGCCCTTTGCTGGCAGTCCTGGAGAAGCCAAGCTCTCAGTGGATGGAGGCTGAGTTCCCCTCTCACCTCTAGAGGTGGATCTTCCAGGTCAAGGCTGAGGCACGGTGGTGGGGAAAGTGTGGAAGCTAAACACTGCTGCTGCCCAGGCTGTACCTGTTCTGTAGATAAATACAGGGCTTCAGTCTCCAAGGCTGTYAAATAGGTTGGAACCTTTCATGAACACTACATGCAAACTTCTTAAAAATYCAAAAGATAGAACCAAAGATGTAAAATATGTGGGACCATATTGCCTTTGGAACAGATTTGTGCCGGTTTTGGCAGTAGGTCAGATTAACTGTGGTTGACTGTCAGTAACACAGCAGAGCTTTTATAGCATGATACTTGAGGCTTTTAAAGCTGCCTGCTCTCCCCCTGTAGGTGAKAATACCAACCTGATTTTTGTAGCCCTTGTCCACTCCAAGTGTCTGGGTGCAAAATTTATGCTTAACTCCGAAGTGCCGCATTAGGTAGGCCAGGTCAATAGTCCAGATACTCTTTGTTAACTGGAGTTCCTGGATGGCTTTCTGAAACTCATCATTGTCCAAATGATTCAGGTACCTGTGGTATTAGGAAAGGCAGGGGAAGGGAAGCACAGATCTTAGGACAAGCAGAATTTGTGCTGTAGCCCAAGCCTCTACATCACAGCACATAAAAACTGAAACAATGGGCTTGGCTAAGAAATAACCAAAGRAAACCAAAAGACAACTCACAAAGGAGACAGAAATTCAAGGGAAGGGAGTAGGGAATATTTAACTGGATTTATTGCTGACTTTTAAAAATTGGAAATGTGTGGTGCCTTGACTACTTCAGAGTGCTAGAAGTGTACAGGTGCTGTACCAGAGGCAAGCTGGTATAGAACTCTGTCCTGAAGGGTTACAGTCTGAATGTACATGTGTATTAGAGCCAACACAGAAAGAAGAGTTAAAGACTAAAACTTCCTTCACACAATAGATTGATTTCAAAAGGAGAAGCCATAAAGGAATTCAGTAAATATTCAATGGAAGCTTGTCTTAGGCACTGATGACACAAAAGGAAGAAAAGGGGAGATGAAGTCAGGAGGAAGGGACAGGTTGCAAAGGGGTGGGGCAAGGCAGTTATAGCGAGTTCTGAAAGTAAGAAAACAAATGGAAGTAAATGATAAAAAAAGGGACTGGAATTGCAGATGCAGGGCAAACAAGGTCAGATCAGCAGGGTGAAAAGATTAATCTTGGAAGTTGAGTTTTGGGCAGACTGGAGTGGCAAARAGGTAAAGGGAATAGAGGTTACAGTAGTCAAGATGGGAAATTACCAGCACACGGACTAACGTCTTGGCAGAAGGGATGGAGAGAAATGAAAATCTTCTGCTTCATATCTACTTAAGTGGACATCTAAATAGGTATTTCTCCTGCACCTAAGCTCATGTTCCTCTGTGGAAGGAAAGAGGAGTTCAGCAGGACAGCTACTAGTTCCAAAAAAGTAAAACCAAAAATAAACAAAAAAAAAAAAAAAAA